CTCCAACAGGGGGTAGTGGACCCCCATACCTATCCTTTTGGGTGGTAGTGGACTTTTTATATATCAGGTTTGCAATAGTGTGCCCTATAAAAATGCCAACGTTTTCTTTTTGACGAAAAACATCGTTTTCTTTTGACGTTCCTACACTTCATTTTTTTACATTTTCAAAGCTTACACTATTGTATATAATGTTGTTTAGCGAAAGCATCATCATTATATGTAATATTTTATAGAGGGCTTATTATAATTTACTGACAAGCACCAAAATTTCACCTAAGTGCTATAACCTTTAACAGAATGCACCGTAAAATAGTGCTTTAATTAATTCATGCATTGAAACATTACTTGACACAAAATGGAGATTTATTACAACTTTTATTAATTATTTTAGTAAAGAGAGCATTCATCTGTTCTCAAGTCAACTAGATTTTCTTTATTGTCTGTTTAATATTGCTGCCCACACGCTGCTCAGAGGCAATCAGAGATGGTAATCAATTCCTTCCTTACGAGCAAATTATTTAGCTAAATTTGGAGCACTCAGTCTCAGTATCTAAAAAAAAGTTTCAAAAACTGTTGGCATTCTTTCTAAAATTAGATATTATGTACCTCGCCCTGCTCTGGTGACGCTCTATTACTCCCTCATCTATCCTTATCTCAACTATGGTATTTGTGCTTGGGGTTCTACTACCCAAAATCATTTACGTCTTCTAATTACTCAACACAAAGCTGCTATTAGGACAATATCCAACTCTGGCCCCAGACAGCACTCGGTACCCCTTCTCAAATCTCTGAATATGTTAGATATTAAGGCACTGCACATCCTCTCATGTGTATTATGTATATATATATATAAAACACTGAATTGTAATGCCAATCCTGACCTTAAAAGCTTCATTGAAGGTTGTAACAGAACCCGTGAGCACCATACCAGAAACAAATACCTTTTTGATATTCCAAGAGTATGACTTAATCAAACTAGAAATGCTCTTCAAATCAAGGGACCTAGAATGTGGAATGACCTTCCCAATCATGTTAAAGACTGTACCTCTCCCAACCAGTTTAAGATTAAAACTAAGCATTACCTAATTAACTCCCAGTAACCTACCTTACTCCTATAATGTCAACCCATGTCTGTTATTTTGAAACAATGCTGTCTGTCGACCAAATTGTATTTTTGCTGTTTTTCTGCCATGTTCCCCCCCATGTTTGCTGACAATGCCAAAATTATGAGAAGGATTAAGACAGAGGAGGACTGCTTGAGGCTTCAAGAAGACCTAGACAGACTGAAGGAATGGTCGAATAAATTGTTGTTAGAGTTTAACTCAAGCAAATGTAATGTAATGAAGATAGGTGTAGGAAGCAGGAGGCCAGATACTAGGTATCATCTGGGAGATGAAATTCTTCAAGAGTCAGAGAGAGAAAAAGACTTGGGGTTGTTATCACATCAGACCTGTCCCCTGCGACCCATATCAAGAGGATAACATCAGCAGCATATGCCAGGATGGCCAACATAAGAACGATATTCATAAACTTGTGTAAGGAATCATTCAGAACTTTGTATACCACATATGTCAGGCCAATCTTGGAGTATGCAGCCCCAGCATGGCATCCATATCTAGTCAAGGATAAGACTAAAATGGAAAAGGTTCAAAGGTTTGCCACCAGACTAGTACCTGAGCTGAGAGGTATGAGCTACGAGGAGAGACTACGGGAATTAAACCTCATTTTGCTGGAAGACAGAAGAGTTAGGGGGAACATGATCACCACATTCAAGATTCTCAAGGGAATTGATAGGGTAGACAAAGACAGGCTATTTAACACAAGGAGCACAGGCAATAGGGAACACGGGTGGAAACTGAGTGCCCAAATGAGCCACAGAGATATTAGAAAGAACTTTTTTAGTGTCAAAGTGGTTGACAAATGGAATGCATTAGGAAGTGATGTGGTGGAGGCTGACTCCATACATAGTTTCAAGTGAAGATATGATAGAGCCCAATAGGCTCAGGAACTTGTACACCTGTTGATTGACGGTTGAGAGGCGGGACCAAAGAGCCAGAGCTCAACCCCCACAAGCACAATTAGGTGAGTACACACACACACACACACTAAAATCTAATACCAGGTCACAATTTCAATGGAACTACTACCACATATTTTATTTCACCTAAATGTAAACTAGTTTCAACCAATATTGAAGTCAGGAGAAAAACAATATTAGTGATCCAGGTATGAAGAATAAAAGTCCTAAAAAAATTTGCCAATGCAGATATTTTTTAAAAAGGCACTTTATTTAGTTATTCATATAAAATTTACCCACATTTACAAAATTTTAGTACTGTACAAACATTTTTAAAACTTTACTCAACATTTTGCAATAATTCTCGTTAAATATGTAAAGTAGGTGAAATTCAATCGGTTCAGTTAACTTATGGTTGCCATATCACATGAAAACCAAAACTTATGGTTCACCTTATGATTTTCCATGTGAGACAGGAAGCCTTTTAAACTTATTGAGGTCAAACCAGACCAACTACTGGTGAGCCCCAAGATGCAACCCACAACAGTTGCTTAACTCCAAGTTACTTATTTACTGTTAGGTGAACAGAAGCACCAGGTGAAATGGGAGGTGGCCAGCAGTCCCACCTGAGGATTAAACCCAGGGGCCAGGATTCACAAAACATTTACACAATATCTTATGAATCCTGTACATCTTTCCTTAATCATGGCAGCTTTGCTTTTCCTAAGAGTTCATGAACTTGGAAACATCAACTAAATGTTATTGTTATAAACAACTTAATAGTGCTGAGGAGCTCACAAACTGTTTAATAAATGTAAACAAAGCCTCCATGATCGAGGAAAGATTTACAGGTTTCGTAAGTTGATATGTAAATGCTTAATGAATCCTGGCCCAGGCTCAGTTGTGGGCCGACAACCTAAACCACGGCACTACAGGGTGCAAAATGCAATAATTGGTTTAAGCTCTAAAAAAAGAGACAATGGTAAAACATATTGAGCCACTAGACCATTTACATTTTGTAAGCAGTTCATAATATACCTCAGTTCAGTAATGTTATGGTTATTAATTTTATATATATATATATATATATATATATATATATATATATATATATATATATATATATATATATATATATATATATATATATATATATATATATATATATATATATATATATATATATATATATATATATATATATATATATATATATATATATATATATATATATATATATATATATATATATATATATATATATATATATATATATATATATGTCGTACTTAGTAGCCAGAACGCACTTCTCAGCCTACTATGCAAGGCCCGATTCGCCTAATAAGCCAAGTTTTCATGAATTTATATATATTTTCTAATTTTTTTCTTATGAAATGATAAAGCTACCCATTTCACTATGTATAAGGTCAATTTTTTTTTATTAGAGTTAAAATTAACGTAGATATATGACCGAACCTAACCAACCCTACCTAACCTATCTTTATAGGTTAGGTTAGGTTAGGTAGCCAAAAAAGTTAGGTTAGGTTAGGTAGTCGAAAAACAATTAATTCATGAAAACTTGGCTTATTAGGCAAATCAGGCCTTGCATAGTAGGCTGAGAAGTGCGTTCTGGCTACTAGGTACGACATATATATATATATATATATATATATATATATATATATATATATGTCGTACCTAATAGCCAGAACGCACTTCTCAGCCTACTATTCAAGGCCCGATTTGCCTAATAAGCCAAGTTTTCATGAATTAATGGTTTTTCGTCTACCTAACCTACCTAACCTAACCTAACCTAGCTTTTTTTGGCTACCTAACCTAACCTTACCTATAAATATAGGTTAGGTTAGGTCAGGTAGGGTTGGTTAGGTTCGGTCATATATCTACGTTAATTTTAACTCCAATAAAAAAAGTTGACCTCATACATAGAGAAAAGGGTTGCTTTATCATTTCATAAGAAAAAAATTATAGTAAATATAATAATTCAGGAAAACTTGGCTTATTAGGCAAATCTGGCCTTGAATAGTAGGCTGAGAAGTGAGTTCTGGCTACTAGGTACGACATATATATATATATATATATATATATATATATATATATATATATATGTCGTACCTAATAGCCAGAACGCACTTCTCAGCCTACTATTCAAGGCCCGATTTGCCTAATAAGCCAAGTTTTCATGAATTAATGTTTTTTCGCCTACCTAACCTAACCTAACCTAGCTTTTTTTGGCTACCTAACCTAACCTTACCTATAAATATAGGTTAGGTTAGGTTAGGTAGGGTTGGTTAGGTTCGGTCATATATCTACGTTAATTTTAACTCCAATAAAAAAAAATTGACCTCATACATAGAGAAAAGGGTTGCTTTATCATTTCATAAGAAAAAAATTATAGTAAATATATTAATTCAGGAAAACTTGGCTTATTAGGCAAATCGGGCCTTGAATAGTAGGCTGAGAAGTGAGTTCTGGCTACTAGGTACGACATATATATATATATATATATATATATATATATATATATATATATATATATATATATATATATATATATATATATATATATTTATTTATTTGAAATATATATACTTGAAACTTAACACATTTTTCAACTATTCTTAGCTAAACACAAATGCTACCTACCCAAATAATTCAGTGCTTAAACTCTTAGGTCAATGTTTAAATTTTTCAGTACCACATTTACACAAGCGAGATGCTTGCAAAAAATACTGGATACAAATTAACGATGATGCTAATGCATATTTTGATCTTATCAGTGACGTTACTGTATACATTTTAAACAACTATATAACCAAAATTCATATTACATTATAGGGATCAAACTAAATTTAAACTATAATTTATTGCATTACAAATGGCAAGGCATTTTTTCATCACTAGGGTATCTCAAACTAGAACTGCTGTAAAGAAAAATTAAACTTTGGTGTTTTTATCCCATGAGGGGGGACTGAGGTAACTAGATTTGTTTGCCAGTTCATGTGTGTAAATGTGTGCATTAGTTCCAGCTCTCAACCTCTTGATCATTAACTGCAGGGTGTGTTCATATTTATGCATCGAGTGTGCACACATGCATAGATTCATGCAAATGTACACACTAAGGGAGAGAGAGAGAGAGAGAGAGGATACACAAGATGTGGCAGGAAGAGGATTAGGAGGGGAGGGTTAGCATTGTATCAATGCTTTAGTTAATCCTGATACAGGTTAAAGTACTGACAGTGAAAACTTGAAATGAGAGCCCAAGTCTGGCCTACAATACAGCCAAACTGCTCAAGTACTCTCAAGTTTTAGCAGCTGGAAAATGTCAGTGGCAGTACAGTTTGGGGTTACATGGCATTTGGTGATACACCAAAATGTATTATAGTGCTTTTCTGGTGAAGGAAAAGTACATTAGCTACTAGAAGTTGTGGTTTTGTAATATCTAGAAAACTTACCTATTCAGCAAAATGAATATGAGTAATACTATATATATATAATGTTCTGCAAATATCACGCCTTACATTATATTGCATTTCTTATATTTAATTTCAAAATATTTGTTGTTAAAAATTAAATCATATATACAAACATCACAAATGTAATAAAATAGTGTTTTTTATCCCAAGATATAAATTTTACCTTCATTTTCCCGAGAAAAAGAAGCTAGCTACAACAACATTCGTGTAACATTCCTCTCTATGTATTATCTTAAAGTTGGTTAAATGTTAACCACAATAACATTTCCCCAAGACTGTCGTCATAGTCTACATCTATTTGACTATATTTACACATTTGGCAATATATAATATTTTTGTATTTGTCACATGACATCAATTACTTTTTTCACAAATGATAGGAAATTGTTTACATATTTACTACCAGCATTAAAAATGTAAAACCTTATACAGTATTTATAATTATTTTGTCTAAGTTTGCGATTTTGTACAATTTATATACTTGGAGACATCATATTCAAAGAGCTCAATATCATATTTATATAGTTCCAAAAGGTCTTCCATTTGCTTCTGGGAAAGTTGGCAGAGGAACTTATCGGCTACTTCTTCCGTAGGTTCATTTCTTGAACGATTGATTCTCTTTGGTTTAATCACATCTTCTATACCTGTTGATTCGAACCATATTTTTAAGTGTCAAATTAGATTATTTATTCATTTTAAAATCAACATAATTCTATTAAGAAAAAGAGAACTTCACCTGATGTATATAAAAATAGTCTTGAGTACAGTACAATGAAATGCCCCTGTTGGGGCTCTGCTTCAGCAGCTCTTCTCTAATTATAATCTGAATGAGATAGCAAGTTAGGTGCCTAGGCACCAATGAGAGCATTTAACAAAAGACTTACAAATACAGGACTAAAGTTCCTATTCACAAACCAGAGCTGGAAGAGGGTTCCAGAACAAGGAGAGGGTTCTGGGAGCTCATCTCCCCCGAGCCCTGTAACTCCTTCAGTAACAGGGAGGCTTCTAAAATGGGCCTTGCCCAACCATTTGGGGCTGGACAGTAAAGCTTCATGCAGGTCGGCGTTTAATCCCCACACATCCAAGTAGTTGGGCATCATTCCTTTCCCCCTCCTGTCCCATCCCAAATCCTTATCCTGACCCATTTCAAGTGCTATATAGTCATAATGGCTTGGCACTTTCTCTGATAATTCCCTCCCCCCTCCAGTATGTTCTAATTTCCAGAACAACATTTTAAGTGAAACACTGCTGAAAGCCCTTTTTAGGTCCACATAAATGCAGTCAACTAATCCATTTCTTTCCTGTAAAATCTCTGTGGCTCTATCATAAAAACTAAGTAAATTTGTTATACAAGATCTCTCAGATTAAAAACAATACTGTCTGTCTGTTATTGTATAATTCCTCTCCAGATGTTCTACCTTTTTATTTTAATTATTTTTTCTAACATTATGACCTCTACACATGTTAATGATACAGGTCTATAATTAAGCGGGCCTTTCCTGCTGGCACTGTTGTAGATTGGAACTGTGTTTGCCTTTTTCCACACATTTGCTAAGACTCCTGTACACAGGAATGCCTGAAAAATCATTTGAAGTGGAATGCTGAGCTCGGGTTCCCATCCTCTCAGAACCTGTGGTGAAACTCCATCTGGTCCAAGTGCTTTGTTCTTTCTTAGCTCCTTGAGCATTTTTTCCCTTTGTCTCTAGACACTTCTATGTGCTATGTTGTTCTCAGGAATTCTTATTGTGTCTGGTTCTCTGAACATTTTATTTTGCACACACTTTTAGAACTGTTTTTAATGTTTCACACATTTCCTTTTCATTTTCTTTCTACCATATAGTTGTTTCGTGCTTCTTTCTATCGCTGGTATGTTAGAGGGTTTTGTCTCTCTTGATATCAACTCCATTTTGTGTTTTTTGGTCTCTGGCCCTCTTGCAATTTGTCAACCCTATTCAGTTTCCTGGTTCTGCATCTTTGTTTTGGTATAAATTTTCTTGTGCCTTTATTACATATTTCACAAAACTTGATATACATCTCATTTACTTCCTTGCCTAATAAGTCTTCCAAAACAAATGCATTAAAGAACTCCATAAGTTCCCCAAGGTGTCCTCTCCTGAAACCAGGTTTTTCAGTTGCCTCATTTTCCTCATTCTCTACTAGATTATAACTCACTGCATACTTTATTCAAAAAAGGACATGGTCACTTTTGCCTAAGCAGGAAACGTACTGAATGTCAAATATCTCTCTCTCTTTCTCTCTCTCTTTTCTGGTGAATATCAAATCCATCATGGAAAGAACATTCCCTTCCCTCATCCTCATAGCTTGTTAATGTTTTGATACATTAATGCCTCTGGGACGAGGTTTGCAAATCTATAGGTCCAAAAGTCCTCCATTCTAGCTTCATAGGCCTCCCAATCTATGGATTTCAAGGCTGTATTTGGGGTCTGTCAACACACGATGCCTGACTTTGCTGACGCTTCCTGTGTTATCCTCGGATGTATCACTGATTGTTTATCACTTGTTTCTCTTTTTTTTACACGAGTATGTATGTATATTGATTAACTTGATAAATCATGTAATTCATGTAACACATGGTAATGTTTCAACTGATTGCTTTACCTGGTATACTCAATTACAACCAGTATAGAGTAGTGAAAAGGATATGAACATAATATTTAATGGTGTTGGGCTCTGGGCTATGGTCAGATATGGCCTAATTGGCACCATATGGGCGAGAGTATAGATTAAAACTTAAGGCGTAAGCCACCAATGTGGCACACGCACGACAGCAGGCTCCTAATACAAGTAACACATCATAATGGTTCAACTGATGATTTGTTTGTCATCCTGTCCCTTCGAAATTCTGCCATCAGCTTATACATTTTATTTTTAGAATTGCAACTTGAGTGACTACTTACCAGCAGAAAAGATGATGTAGTTTCCATCTTCTTCTAAAGTTTCAATCTAAAAGATAAAAGTATAAACTTAACATTCTTGGTAGTTTTGCAGGAATAATGTATATATATATACAGAAGTCTACACTTGATGAAGTCATTAGTGATAGTGCAATAATACAAGAATCCACGTATATTATTTGGAATCCTCCTATATATAATTATATAATATATATGGGGGGATTCATGTTCTTGTATACAGTACTTGTATTCTTGGATCCATAACATGTTCTTATACACATGTTATGGCACCACATAAGCCATTGTCTGGCAATGTGTGTGTGTGTGTGTGTGTGTGTGTGTGTGTGTGTGTGTGTGTGTGTGTGTGTGTGTGTGTGTGTGTGTGTGTGTGTGTGTGTGTGTAGCAACTGCAATATTTAAAATTTTCTTCATTAAATGATTGGTATAAAACTTATAAATCTTCACTCTTTACATTTCCAACCTTAATAAAGCTTCTTAATAGTTGTCAGTGATTTTCATTTCTACATTTATATCAATTACAGTCTTTTGGAAGTTATATTTATACCTGCATTTAAGAATATAAAACATTTATCCACACAAAACCAAACAATTGTAGTTCACCTTTTCATACAAGTACATACCTTTGCAAATACATCAAAAGGCACCAAGCATGGTGTACAAAACCGATTCATAGGAGTCCAGTGCTCGTCAAGCTTTGCACCTTTCGCATTTTCATCTATCAGAAACTGTATAAATTGTGGGAATGATGGCACAACAGACAGAGGCCCTGCTCTTCCAAAGAAGGACCGGAAGGATCTAGGTGCTAGTGTTTCTGGCTTCAACTGGGGGTACTGTTTCATGATGGCCCGAGATAGTCTACTGTAGTATCTGTTGCCCGAGTGGATCTTGTCTCTGAAAATAAGAATGATTTTGTAATCTAAATACTATGCCAATGTGGACAAACTATACAGATTACCGTACTGTGTTTTATCCGCAGCCAAAGTGTAAACTGGTATCATCAGCAACCATTACCACTGTATTTGCTTTACCACTTGATCCTAAAGCTGAATGTCAAGTATCTTAAATCAAAGGAGTCATCACAGATGTATAGATTAATGAAATGTAATTGTCGGTTTTGTAATTGTATCTGCAAACTAATACTATCAATACCTCTATTTCTCTCGGGCATCTTATTTAAGCAGGTATGGTATTGTTGACATAACATGACACATTACTAATTCCTCTACCAGCATATAAATGAAATCCTTTATAGCCATTTAATCTCATAATGCTATCATCCCTATTCCCAATTTCCGAGAGTGCTATTATGTTAATATTCTTTCTTAAGAGTATAATAGTGTACATCCACTGGTTTATTTTTTAACTCATTAACGTTCCAAGATAGCCTCCTCATGGCTTTCTTCCATGAGGAGCTTTCAACTCTTAACTTTGCCATGCTCTACATATTCACTGAGAAGTGACAGCCCCTTAGACTGTCAACAATATAACAATGCTACATTCTCTTCACTTGTATAGCTACCAAGATCAACCTGCCAAACACGCGAAGAAACTTTAATATTGCTTCGATGTTCGAAGAAATTATAACACCACCTAACAAGTTGTAACAACTTTCTAATATCATAAAATCTTTAAACAAGTATACTCGCACAAGTATACACGAGAGAGGAACTCGCCAACAAATGGCAGGGACTTATAATGAGAAAAATAATAATAAAGAGCAGATCAAGATAAAGCAGGATTGTTGCTTCTGGATGGCTTTAATATGAAATCAATTGAGTGGCAGGCTTATAAGGCAAGAACATGAAATATATGAGTAGACAAATTTGTAAATCTCCAACTGCAAACATTTATGCATCACAATATAGAACAGGCCATGAGAGCAAGTCAAAGGAATACCTCATTGTAGCCAATTCTCATACTCAAGGAAATGGGAAGAAATGCTTGATCAATAATACAAGCCTCCATCAGATGCAATCATATCCTACTGTAAACTAAAGACAATCTATACACATATGAGAAATAAGGAGGAACAAAAGATGGAGAACCCTGGTATGTTGATAAACTATTCATAACAAAAGGGAAAGAGAACACAAGAAGAATGGTAATAGAGCCAATATAAAAAAAAGAACCCATCCATGAACACTAGAAATACAATCAAGCCCAAAACTAAAACATCACAATTCTTCAGCGTTTTAATAAACATGAATCAAATTTTCTTTGCACAAGCCAGTTTTTCATAGTCACTGATTTTTATTAATGTTCCATTTAATCTTAATATTTATCCTAACACAATGTTAAGATTTAGTATTATGAATTAATAAAAGGAAGAGCACATTCCATACTGTAATTGTAAATACACAACAAGAATTCGTACCTGTACCCTGATACAAGTCTCTTTAGAGGATGTCTTGCAATCATGAAGGAGAGTGGCTGTTGCGATGAATTCATAAACTTCTGCAGCTCCTCAACAGATGGTCTGAATAAAATAAAGAAATTATTAAAAACCAACTAGTGCTATTAAGACCTTTTCATACACATTGTGATGACGGTATACAGTAATTTCAATAGGGTACAACAAGATTGTTAATGAAAAACGTTCTACTTTCTTATATGGTCTAATCTATACCTTTTTTCAATGGAATGCAATAAATTCACATTATAATTCTTTAATGTATGAGCTCATATTTTTAAGAATTTTGTTTTTAGAGCAAGAATTCATCAGCAATTCCAAAATATGAACAGTACTGTTTTACTACCTTTTTGGCTATACAGTACAAGTTCTTACAGAATTTTTTTTAAATACAAATGGATGTAAAATGCACGAGAATGATAAGAGGGAGAAAGAAAAAAGTATTCCTCTATCCAGTCCATTAAGGGTGTCATAAACAGTACTGCACATAATTATCTGATGAAGATGAAATGAAGAAAACTACCGACATTCATCATTCCGTCTCTCCACATTATGACTCGGTTTAGAGACAATAAAATGTACTGTACGTCTTGCAGTCTGTCAAGTTTACTGTAATGTTTCCCACATTACCGTAAATTTGGATGATGTGGAAAGGGGAGAAGGGGGTCTCTCTCACTTGCCATTAGGCTCCCCCTTTGGCAAAATCCTGGACATGCCACTGGAGGTAAAATTGGGAAGGGGGGGTTTATGATGCTTTCACTATTTAATGAGGTAGTGATGGAGGTGAGAGCTAGAACCTTGGAGATATATACACACACAATATTTATAGATTATGCTAAGTTAAATCACACACCTTGCATAACGCTTCCTAGCAAGCTGAATTGGAGTATCTTTTGAGTGAAGAAGCTCTGTCTCTGAGAATCCTGCAAGCAGGTTGAAGTTATAGAACCATGTTGATGATGCAGCCTTGAAAATGTTGCACCATACTAAGCCATATTTTTCATTTATCAAGAATTCCCAGGCATTTGGCTGGTACGTCTCCGAAGGCTTATCTAATCCATATTTTCTACAGACCTGCATACAACAGTAAGAAATCAGAATTACTGCAAAAGGTTAAACATTTCATAATTACAATTAATAAACATAGGACAAGTAATATGCTTATCAACATTATAAATGACTTTTGTAAAATGTAAATTCCTAATAATAATGCATCAAGCATAAAGAGCTCAATACATTATTGTATTCAAGTGTATGAAACCACTGTGCTATAATGTATGAAATATTATTAAGTGTTACAAGTCAGCTGTATTTTTGAATTCAAAAATAAATTTGATAATCAGTACTGTACTCTGGCTATACTGTAATTAGCAAAATTATCCTATTGAATAGGCCTAGTTGTGCAGTTCTGACTATTGTATTAGGTATCATAATGTGAAGCACTGAAGACAAAATTTTGTATTAGGTATCATAATGTGAAGCACTGAAGACAAAAATTTTGTATTAGGTATCATAATGTGAAGCACTGAAGACAAAAATTTGATAGTTATGGCCTTCTTCCAAGTGAGAACCCAATACATTTGTAAATCCAGTACTGTACTTGCAAACATCAAGTATCAAACATCACTGTACCTAGATGAGGTTCTGGGAGTTGGTCTACTCCCCCTGCTTGATGGGGTTCTAGGAGTAGTTCTACTCCCCAAGCCCAGCCCGAGGCCAGGCTTGACTTTTGAGAGACTTGGTCCACCAGGCTATTGCTTAATTGTGGCCTGCAGGCCCACATATCCACCACAGCCCATTTGGTCCGGCACTTCTTGAAGAAAACTAAAATTTCTCACTCTTGAAGACATCCACGTTTGCTCTGGCAATATTTCTTAATACTGTACTGTACTTTAATACTAATACTGGCAATACTGTATTGTAACAGATAATACAAATTTCTATTATACCTGTGCCTTACCTCTCGAACATGGTTGCGTCTAACAGACAGTCGGTCTACCAGCGCCTGTGTCACTGTCCAAGAGTCTGGCAAAGTCATGGTCTCCACCTAAAATTAAATGATGCAAAAAATTAATATGACTTCTAATATAATGTCAACTTCAGTAATGTACTTATCTTCAGATTACAAGTAGATCAATGTGATTCATATTTCAGAGCATACTGTATTTGAAATTTGTCTTGAAAACTCAATTCCATATCCACATAGTAAATGGGAGTTTATATTAAAGATATACTAAGTTTTTCTGTATCATTCCAAGAAATCATTCAATTTACTGAACAAACTAATTTATGCACTGAACTGAGTGGCATTTGTGTGAAAGAACACCTGTGAAAAAATGGCAAATAATAAAAATATGGATGAATCACAAACTTTTAACAAATTGGCCAGTGCATCACACACAGGTGCAAGAGTCATACCTAATATATGAACATTTTTAAATAAATAAACTAAAAGAATGATTTATGAGCTACAAAGAAAAATATTTCCAATTTTGTGGTGTGCTATCCGAATCAAATTATTTTAATTAAAGATCATTAATCAAAATGTGCATCTAATTAGGTGAATGAGTAACAAAACACCGAGTCTCAACTGGTCAATAATGTTAGGACACACAATGCAGACATGGTATCATGCTCAAGTATTGGCTGGAGAATTCTTGTCTATCTTGACCTCAACAGCATCTTCACTGTTCCTTAGGAAGAATCTACCTTACCTGCACCCTGGCAGCATAGCCTGCTCCTCTGTGCAGTTTGTGATTCTTCAAGTTGGCTGCTCGACACGCCTTATCACATGGCTTCCACCCGCTTTTATTATTGTTAAGATGGGACTGCACAAAATTTTTCCTCTGTACAGCATACTCTTGGTTTGTCAATTTCCTGGTTATGTTAGTATGTTTTAATTGACTAACTCCATTGTCTAGGCCACTGCCTTGTTTGACGATGTGGTGGAACTGGCAGGCACGGTCACAAGGTACACTAACAGTGGATGGAGTATCTACCTGAGATTTTGTAATATTAACAGTTCCATTGACGGTGGACAGATTGACTGCTAGGCCTGTAGTAGAAGGGATCGTGACAGCCTCCAGATGATGCCCAATGGTGAGAAGATCCTGTATGAAAGCAGGAAACGTGGTCATTATTTATAAAAACATGAAATTGATGAAATAGGGGTGCTGGCATGTACTTTGTATCATAAAGGTCATGTGCAATCAAGAAATATAAATTATTGCTAATTGAAATGGATACAGTATTTAGATTAATCATTACTAATAACTGTATTATAACTTTAGTGTTAAGAAACTCTGATAAAGAGAGAGATCTAGGAGTTTTGTATAAAAAACTGTCACCAGATAGTTGGGTCATTTTCAGTACTTCCATGACCATTGAGAGCAAAGATTTGTTTCTCAGTGGATGTGTGTTGTATGAAGGCTCAATACAATTTTTTTTACCCTATTGGCATTTGCATAGGAAACAAGTTGAATGCCAGCCAATGATGCAAATGGCCCTTATGCTCCATTGATCCAAATGATTCCTATGCCATTGGTCATTTTGAAAATTGCCTTTTTATTTATTTACCCTAAAATGTTGCTCAGTACAAGATTTTTAGGTTTAGGAATTCATTTATGATGTCAATTAGATGACTTCATCTATTTTTTACCTTTAAATTCAACATGCCCACTGATATTTTGTTCAGAACAGGCAATCTGTTCAAACTGTAGTAGAGCCTTCATATTAGACTCAAATGAAAGCTTTAAACATGAAGTGTTGAATTATGGACAGTAAAAATACAACAGGATTGCTGTATTTTTCTGTATTATGTATCTCATAGGACAAACATAAGTCCTCAACAGTCACAACCATACTGTCATATGACAATCATGACTATGGAAGGTGGTTGCCAGATTATTGTGTGATACTCTCTTCACTGTCGCAAGAATAAATGGCTTTCTTCAATAATAACCCGGCTGCCGGAAACGCTATGCATACTAGTGGCTTTACAAGAATGCTATGTACTCTCATAAACCCAATGTACCTTCTTATATATATAAATAAATAAATAAATTCAGTTAGTTGATGATAGGGCTACCTTACTCTTTCCAGCCACTGGATATCTGGATAGAAACAACTATGAATCTGAACTCTAAATTAAAGCAAGGATGGTTTCAGCTTTGGCTGAATGAGAAACGGCTGTTCTTAACAACAAGGAATGAAAACCACATTGCAAGGGTGAAGGCTATTGTTAACTTAAACCTCAAGTGCCAGCATTACCATGGGTGAAACATGTTAAATACCAGCCATTGAGGATTAAGAAGGATGAGCAGGGAGTTCAAGACCTGCAGGTAGGCACGAAGGATTTCGATGTCGAGCCCTTTGGTATTTCAATATTTCCGAAATCATTACAGTTTGACCTAGTCGACTCACTGCAGTTTGTGCATGACTTGAAGATGGCAAAACTCAAGTTGAAACCCCTTCTACAAGAGCAAGTTTTCACTAAGAAAAAGAATAGGAGGCAGAATTTCGATGGTGATAAGATCTGTGCATCACCTAGTACACCCATGAACATAGTCCAGACTCTATAAAAGACTCTAAAGAGTCTTTCTGCATGAATATGGAGAGGCTGGGGCCGGCGGCCTTGTTAAATCTTGCAGACAAGACGAGACGATCAAAAATTTGATCGTCTTGATCAAATTGGATCAAGAATGATCCAATTTGAGTCGGCCCTTGAGAGGAGGAGCGACTGAGGAGTGACTCTTACTATACAATGTGAGCGATTCTATTTGTCCTGGGTTTATATCCTGGCCTTCAAGTTATCCTTATCCTTAAAGTTTGCTAAGTACTCACATGAGCTGTTATCCTGGCGACTCTTAAATTCTGTTTATAATTGCCATCGTCCCAGCTGTCTACACGGGCTCCCTTCAAGTTGTATATTATGATACTTAAACAGAATATGACAAACAGAAGTAAAGGCTTTAATCTGCCTCGTATCCTCATGTTGTCTGACAATATTTCCTCTTGGCTTCATTGTTCACATCTCGTTACATCTTGAAGATTTCTGGAAATCCAGAAATACATTTTCTGGATTTTTTCAGGTATACATTTCTGGAAAATAAAGTATATTTCGTAAGTGGAAATTTAACATACACCAAGATTACGACCATTCATAAAGTATTTAAAATTATATATTATATATATTATAGTAGATAACGGATTATTAAGTATATAAAAGGCTGTTTAACTTTTAAACAATTTGTTAACGTTTTGTTTGCTGTAATGTTAAATATCCTCAATTCATGTATTTGCTGTTCTGCTCTGTACGGTTCTTTAAAGATAAATGACACCATTTATTTCCCGGCGACTAAAAGTGTGACCATTATTGCCGTTAGTTTCCTTTGTGAGAAGGCTGCTTCCCCTTCCCCTCTCACCGTGTGACCGCAATGTATACTTTTCCCTGAAGTTTGTGTTGGACAAACACCTTCCCAGCCAAAGGTTCAGCCATGTTTAAATAGGCGATCCATCACTGAAAGTCGGTTCCCTCCCTTCCAAAGAACTTAGGCCGTGGGAGATTTTGTTCACATACGAGATATGAAATTAAATCGCCCGCTACCATGAGCTGCACCGGTGGCTCCACCAATAGCTGCACCGCTGGGTTCCACCAATAGCTGCACCGCTGGGTTCCACCAATAGCTGCACCGATGGGCTCCACCAATAGCTGCACCGATGGGCTCCACCAATAGCTGCACCGCTGAGCTCCGCCAATAGCTGCGCCGGTGGGCTCCGCCAATAGCTGCACCGGTGGCTCCGCCAATAGCTGTACCGGTGGCTCCGCCAATAGCTGCACCGGTGGGCTCCACCAATAGCTGCACCGCTGGGCTCCACCAATAGCTGCACCGATGGGCTCCACCAATAGCTGCACCGCTGGGCTCCACCAATAGCTGCACCGGTGGCTCCGCCAATAGCTGCACCGGTGGGCTCCGCCAATAGCTGCACCGGTAATGTGATTACCTACACCAGGAGGGTCACTCGGAGAGAATCATGCTCCCAGAAGGTCAGTAATGTTGTATAGGTTGCATCAGCTCAAACTTTTGCGTGGATGCAACTGTTGACGTTACACTATCTGCAGATTTGTTTTGTATATACTTGGTAGTCCAGTCAAGGACACAGCAAAAGATCAAGTTGGATTGTTTCAAATGTAGGTTAGACATATTATATACGAGTTTAAGGGTATATAAATAGGAGCTTCCTCGCGTAAGTCAAACTTTCCTTTATTCATGTTCTTTAAATAACAATTACAAATTGCTTTGCAGACCAATCCCAGTACTGGAGCACTCGAGATTATAGACATTAAATAAATTACTCAAATTTTAAAGATATAAATGTCAATAATCAGACGTAATGAATCACATAGATCACGCACTATTAACCAAAGGTTTATGAAACCTAATCAACAGATCACTCAACATTTCCTCGGAAAACATTGATGAATCATCGCCTGTGCACGCTGGGAGGCATTGCTTCACATGAAGACTCCTGTCATTTATCGAGAACACGGTAACATTTGTCTAAGGAATACATCAAGACGTGACCTTCAAGTAGCTGGATAAACCGTTCCTCGACCGATGACCCTAAAACAAAACACATACAG